GGGCCTGGCACAGCTGTACCCGGGGTGTGGGAGCATACAAATAATATCATTGAATGACGCACTACACTGATGTCCAAGAGTTTTAGTAATATTGACAGTTGCGTTTCCCCAGCTTCCAAAAGCATTTATTCAAGATTATTCGAGAAGCGGCATCTGATCACCTATACAAAGTGGAATTTGAACTTTTAGAGTTTTTTCTTCTATGGTTTTTCTGGTTTTCTGGTGCCGAATTAAGGAATTTTGGTCATTAATGTTTTTGCCGCAAACGCAGCACTTGTTTTCTCACCAGCATGAGTTAGCATATGTCTCCGCAAGTGTTCTTTCTGGCCGAACCTTGAGTTACAATGACCACATTTAAACGGCTTATCACCAGTATGAGTTAGCATGTGTCTTCGCAAGTTGTGCTTCAGCCCAAAGCTCGAGTTGCAGTGGTCACATTTGAACGGCTTCTCACCAGTATGAGTTTGAATGTGTCTTTGCAAGCCTGTTTTCCGACCGAAGCTTGAACTGCAGTAGCTGCATTTGAACGTCTTCTCACAACTATGAGTTCGCACGTGTGTTTGCAAGTTTTGCTTCAGCCTGAAGCTCGAATTGCAGTGATTGCATTTAAGCGGCTTCTCACCAATATGAGTTTCCATGTGCCTTTGCAAGTTTATTTTCTGCCCGAAGTTCGAACTGCAGTGGTCGCATTTAAACGGCTTTTCACCAGTATGAGTTCGCATGTGTGTTTGCAAGTTTTGCTTCAGCCCGAAGCTCGAATTGCAGTGATCGCATTTGAACGGCTTCTCACCAGTATGAACTCTGCAATGCACTCGCAGATTTCCCAATGTGCCGAACCTCTTATCACATTGTATGCAGTTGTATGGCCTCTCACCAGTGTGCTTCCTTTGGTGAATTTTCAAGAACTGAGCAGCAGAAAAGGTTTTACCGCAGTAGCTACATGTGAGTGAACTTCTACCACTGCGAGTTCTGTTTCGCTTGTGACCAGCATACTCAGTGCATTCGCTTGTTGTAACCGATGTTGCTGAATGCCTTTCCGGAAATGGCTGGTGGTTATCAGTGCAGGTTGCTGTACCGCCCAATGTCTGATTCTTCAGCCCGATTGGGCTCGCAAGCTGAAAAATCGTTGAGAAGCCATCTTTTTATTAACGTCAAATAGTAACCCGACTTTCACTCGAAAAAAGACTTCAAAGAGTTTATCCAGTGCTAATTCATTTCTTATTTTCCAGTCTATTTATTCCATAGTTTGGGCGCAATAAAAATACCACTTTACTGTTGAGCTGAGGGTTGAGATTTCGATCCAATCAATAAGACGACTAATCCCTATACGATCCGCACGTCACTTTGATGTTAGTTGGTCTGGGATGCCAAGAAGTCAAGTCCGCCACTAGCTTGCTTCTAAGCAGCGCTCGAATGACGGAGCTGCCGACAACTCCGAGTGAACTATGGACAGAATTACTTTCAAGTGTTTCCGTCTTTCGTAGAGAGTGCATACGGAGGAAAGTTCGCTTACTATTATTATGTGTTTTGTGCTGTGTAACAGCAATACAAAACGCATATTGTCACGAGGTTGTCTGTATGTATGCGTGAGTGTGTGTGCCCATAGCAACTTGTTATTACCACTGTTATTATCACATTATTATCATTTCTCTTATCATTCTACGCCCCCGTTTTCTACACGTAGCCCCTGGACATCCTTTCTTTAACCGTTTAACCATTTTTCGGGAAACCGGGAGAAATTTCGAAATTGGGATGAATCTCCTTCTTTATAACTGATAATACCCGCCTCGCTCTTTTCAAATTTCTTCGTTTTCACCGTGCTTGTGCATGTGTAAACGGGAATTAAAAGTAAATTGACTTGGCAAGCTAGCATATTTTGCGGTACTGAATATTCACACTTCCGTAGAATGCGTACCCTTTTCGACTGAATTGGCTCATCTATCCACCTAACAGCGACTTATAAGGGTGAGAGAATTAGAGTGGCAACTTTTTTCAGTAAACACTAAAAAGACGAAAATTATCCGGATAAAACGGGGGCCGCAATTTGAGTCTGGAAGTAAAGATTCAGTTGAGGACAAGTTGAAAAAATGAGTAGAAAAAGAGCAAGTTTTGTTTAAGAGGGCATTATGCTTGAATCTTGCCGTGAACCAGGTCGATAGAGAGTCACGAACTGCAGTTCTGGAAAAAACAGGTTTTGTCGAGAATCAATTTGTAGCAATGTTAGACAGAATAATTCTTCCAAATCTGATAAATGTCATCGCTCTGGCAAAGAGGTATCATTACTGACAAAGAAGTACCATTACTGACTTGCTCTTCCAAATCTACATAAAAAGCACTTTTCAAAAGATTACCGAGCCTTTGGCAACTATCGACACCATTTGCAGCAGCACGATGGACATCAAACACACTGTTATCTTTGTGGAGCAACACCGAGTTACCAATATTTTCTTTCGCATCCTTCTTGCTGGAAGCATGAGACGCTTTTCCGTTTCCATCTAATCCACTGGCACGCCGTTCTTTCAGCACCTAAATTCACAGATTTATGTCTGTGACAAATGTAGCGAAGGCTTTTTAGACTTGCGCTTAACTAAAGACCAGGAGATAGACTTTTTATATAAGCAAAATCAGTGCCAGAGAAATATTATGCTTCTCCATCATATAATTTGACTCAGCTTTGAAACGAACACAATCTGGCCGCTATACGAATAGGCAAAGGCAAATTCAGACGGGAGAGAGAAAAAGAGAGATGTACCGGGAGATAAATCTAACTTTTTTGAATGAATCATTATTTTCAATCTATCACGGCATTCTCATACGGGACTGGGAAGGTGGTCTAAGTGTATAGAGCAGCAGATGATAAGCCTCACTGACAACTGTGGGGAGCATAGCCCTCATCGCAAGCGCTACGCGTCGAATGAAGTTGATGACTCATGAGACTAAAGTCAAAATTCCGGCAAAATTCCGAGCACACACACTACTATTGATTCCGACGTGGCATAATCCCTAACACCATTCTCCGCTCTACGCTAATTCGGTTTCCTCTCGATCTTCGATTGAAGATAGGCGTAAAATAAAATACATTAATCGTAACGTATATTCAAAAGAAATATATACATGAAATTATATTAAGACGCTGGATGTCCTCTATCTCTGTGTCATGGAATGAAAAGCTGGGAAAATGGTACATCACAAGTTGCGATGGAAAATATTACAGTAAGGTTACCAAAAGCAATTGTCATTGTTGCGTCAGTACTAAATATTGCCATACATATGCCTTTTGCAAAATAGCCCAAGTAGCAAGTCTTTCCAGGCTTCCGATAAATGCATTTTTGCACTAAATTTAAAACAATCAGATCGTTAACAGTATTGGTTGTTGCTTCAGCGTTTAATATAAATATCACATTTGACGCATCGATGTGTGGCGACAAACACAAAGCCGACCGTTAAACGGAATTTGTGCGCTTTCCCTTACGCAAAATTTACCGTGATTTGCGCTAGTGAACGCACAAAATAAATGTAAAGCAAGAACTATTTATATAGTTAACGATCTGATTGTTTCAATTACAGCGCAAAAAAGCATGAACGCGCCGGCAGCCTGGTGCGTTCCAGCCTAAGTTGTTGTAGTTCTCATAATTTGTATCACGATCATAATCATTATCGTGTTGTCGTACCGGCTTCTGGACTTCCACGGCGATTACTAGTCGGTAGCTGAGAAACACTGTATCCCAGATCTGTTTCTTACAGGAGCAGCAGCAGTGGGCGCGTTGTTTGCTGGGCTAGCATCAGACAAATTAGGGCGTCGACCGGTGATCATCGCTGCAAGCTTTGTCTTCACAGTGGGTGCTGTGGTTTGTGCTGCTGCTGTGAACAAAATAATCCTGCTAATTGGAAGAATTCTTCTTGGTTTGGCAATAGGTAAGTCGAAATTCTGGGCACTCTCCTGAATTCAGCCCCTTGTAATTGAAAGATCGGTGGCCGGTGCGCTACATATGTTCGGCGAATCAGAGGAACCTTGTATTGGGACACAAAAAGATTGAACAATTTATTAGTATACGAAGTTAAATTAGTCCCGGACGAGTTTTAAGGGAACAGTGGAATTGTATTGCGCCTTTACATCTCCCATTTTGCGGAATAACAGCTCTGGTCTTGCTTACAACTTTGTGTTTGTTGATAACCAGCAAACAGAAGTTTTTATCGCAAGACGGGAGCCCAAGCACACGCTAGTAAAAGATGAGCTCGTCAGCAAGCTGACCACTGGTCAAAGCAACTGGAAAGAAATTTGAGGAATAGTACTTGACCAGTAGCAACTATTAGTCAACAGAAGCTGTGACTAGCTCTTACTTCAGAGGACTGTATGAAAAACTTCCCTCGTCAGGAGTAGTGTAACTGATATATTATCGTATCATATTTTTTAAAGTTTTTCAGGATTTGCATCGATGATAGTGCCTGTTTATGTGAGCGAAGCAGCACCGTATTATATTCGTGGAGCACTGATGACCAGTTTCCAGCTGATGATCACTTTTGGCCTGTTTGCTTCAAACATATTGGCCGGTTTGCTTCCTCATTTTTGCAGCTCTGTCAACTTAGAATCAAAAAATCAAGGAAAATGAAAAACAAGTTGGAATGATTGAATCAGCTTGGTCCAGTACTTCTGACCAGTGCTAGATCACCTGCTGATCAGCCTAAAGGCGATTTATAAAAATTTTTTTT